CCGCAGAGCAGCATTGAAACCGGTGGCTTCGGAGCTTTCACGGAATTTTTAAACTGCCCCGCACAGATGACGGTATAATCTGCTATTGATCAAGGTGTTTCGAAAAACCGATACCATACCGATGACTACGGGCTTCACTTTTACTCAACCTGCCTCATCCCCCCCACTCACTCCACCGTCTCTCCACGCCTCTTCAGTCGACCTAACCTGAGCGAGTTTCCCAGCCGCGGTTTCCTAACTTCTTTACTCGGTCGTTACAGTTAACGCTTTTCAGTCTCTTTTTTTTTTTCTCTCGTTTTTTCCTCGTGCCACCTCGCCACGGCGAAGATTAAACGTCCCCCTCTCTCTCTTTCTTCGCTTTCTTTTTTCTTATATTTTCTTATCCTCCGGAGAGTGAAGATGTCGTTGGATAACTTCTTATAGAGCCTGCCTCTTCTCTTTTTTCTATTTTCTCTCTTCTTGCGTCGTTTGTTTAAAGGAGACGAGAAGACGAGCGGTGCAGTTGTATGCAGAGATTAATTCCTTTCTTGATGCCGCGAATTTAATTGCACAGTTTCGCACACGCGAACGTTTCCCATGGTCGCGCTCGTACACCGCCGGTATATCGGTGCAGCCATTGGAATAAAAAAGAGAGAGAGAGGGAAAAAAAAGGTGATCGATCGTTTCTCTATTCTCTGTTGGATAAATTTAACTGTCCATCCACGTCAAACGCTCGCTACGTCAAAGGGAAGCGTTTCTGCGAGCTCTATCTGTCATCCGGCGATCGCTTATCCGTCTGACATTATATAACATTTCCAGATCTCCTTTAGAGTGTCCTTTTTTAGCACAGTAATGAAGCGTTTTGTATTCGTTAACCCTTTCGCGGCGTGCGCGTGTCCGCTATTTATGCGCTGGAACGAACGTCGATCTGAATTTATCGTCCGTTACATGATCGGTAGATAAATGAGAAATTTAAAAGAAGCAGATAATTCGACCGTCAAAGGGTTAAAATAGAGCCGGCAAATCTAGATTTTCTCTGTGTTCAAAAGGTGGAATGTACATGATCGATAGATAAACGAGAAATTACTGAAAAAAATAAATAAATAATTCAATCACGAAAGGATTAAGACAGGACTCGACAATTTAGATCTTTTCTTCGTTCGAAAGATGAAGAAACGTAATGAATATATAAATGAGAAATTCTTGAGAAAAATAAATAATTTAATCGCGAAAGGGTTAAAATAGAACCGGTGAATTTAAATTTTGTGAAATGTACATAGTCAATAGATAAATGAGAAATTCTTGAGAAAAATGAATAATTTAATCGCAAAAGTGTTAAAACAGAGCTGACCAATTTCTATGCTTCCTTGGTTCGAAAGATCGAATGTACATAATCCCTAGGTAAATGAGAAATTCTTAAAAGAATAATAATTCGATCGCGAAAGTGTTAAAACAGAGCTGACCAATTTAGATTCTGTCGTCGTTCGAAAGATGGAATGCGCACGATCACTAGATAAACGAGAAATTCTTCATAAAGATAAATAATTCGATCGCGAAAGGGTTAAGACAGAGCCGGTCAATTTCTATTTTTCCCCTGCTCGAAAGTTGGAACGTAGGTAGTTGTTATCGATCGGCCAAAAAGCCGAACGACTGACAGACATAATTTCAGAACTCTTGGATTGCACAGGCTTGCAACACCTGGGTCTGGAGCAAGGAGCCGGCCAAGGGTGGGGTGGATTACCCAGGGGCTCTCTTCCGCCGCACTGTCTTCCGCCGCCTCCCGGTCACCATTCGCATACACATCCTCCGGCAGCCGGTGCGTCGGCCTTCAATCCCTTCCACCACACCATCGAGCAGAGATCCCCTAGACTGCCTGGACCTAACTCTGGTAAGACACTCTGCACTTTGCCTCGCCATCCTCTACAATATCAATCATCTTTTCCTCGTTCCTGACTCCAGTAAACTTAACACGTTCGCTAAGTACCGAATCGAGTGAACTTAACACCTTCAAAATTTCATCTCTGCTCAATTATTTCTCCTCAATTTTCTTCGGTACAGTGAACATTTGTGGATAAATTCCACATTTGTCACCGCGTGAAAATTTGGTAAACGTACCAATGTACTCAGAAGAAAACGACAATTCCCAAGGTTTAACCAGTGTTTCACTAATTCCATAGAATCGTCCAGGAACGATTTGGGTCCGATCAGCGTGTCCGTGAGGGAGGTGACACCAACAACGTCCCCCGGCAATCCAGGACCAGGTCTGCTCACGACGGCAACCGTCGCGGCACCCACGCCTCCGGCGGAACCCACCACTACCACCACTACTCCCAGTCCCTCGGGACATCATTCACACTTCCAAGGTATCTCTCTTTCTACGAAAAATCTAGCTTAAAAACACCTCGAAACTGACGATCGTCCTCCACGTGACCGCAGGTCTTCATCTTCTGGGTGCGACAGGGTCTATCTTCGGGTCGATATTCGCCCCGTTGCTGCCGCAATCTTCCTGGCTCTACAATCCCCTCTATCACACGCAGCAGTACGTGTTGGAGCCAGAATGGCACGCACTCGCGCTAAGAATGGCTCAGCAACGATTGCAGAGGCCCGACCAGGCCAGAGTCGAAGAGATGAGGAAGCTTCGAGGAGGCAGCAGCAGCCCGGAATCCGGCCTGAAGGAGGAGAAACGACGCGACCTGGACAGCCCCGATGGTAGCATAGAGGTGGACGACAAGAACGAGCTAGATCCGAACAGAGATCGCGTGAGAAGCGACGAGTCGCTCCCGGAACAGGACTCCCCGAGGATCTCTCCGATCAGGAGCGACGTGGAGGACACCGCCGACGCTGTGACGTTCCAAGACGCCTCTGTTCACCTTCGACCCAGCGTAGAGAACTCGAACGACCAGGAGAACGAGGAACAAATTTCTCGCAGAGATTTGAAGCTTCGTCTGGAGGGTACGGTTGATCTGAGTACGAAGAAAGGACAGGATAAGGAGAACGTTGGTCAAGATTTGACTACGAGGAAGAAGGAGGAGGACACCGACGTCGAGAGGGAAGGAATTAGAGGGAGAAGGGAGAGAAGCCCTAAACCCAGACAGGTCTGGAGACCTTATTAAATCGACGAAGAAGATCGACCGGTGGATTTATCGTTGTAAATTCTTCAGGCTGATCGTCTCGATTTAGGGTGTCAGTTTGGAAAGTTAGAAGCGATTTTAAGGGGAAAGATGCCAGGTCAGCTCAGAGAGTCTGGTCCTGGGACCAGGGGCTATCAAGGACTCGAGGACTAACCAGGGTTTACGTTCGTATAGTATGTAAATATATAAGCGGCGTCCGATTATTACCTAGGTTTATTCGTCTCGCGTACACGTGTCAAGCGTTACCCATTGTCATTTCGAGTGAGACTAATCGACACTTTTTTTCGAACCATCCTCGTTACGTCAATTTTGTCAAAGGACGTTTTCGAAGGAAAGGACGTTTGAACGATTGGATCTTCACGGTGTTTGGATTGAGCGTAACGGTGTTAGTTCGAAAGTGAGAAATTGTAAATATCACAGACCTAAGGACACTCCGAGTCCGGGCTGAGTCACGTCCCTGCAGGCTGCTCCTTTTCTTTTTCTCTGTCTTCTTTTCTCCCTCGTCTATTTTTCTTTGTTTTTCTTTTGTCACGAGGGAACGTTAATCGGTGACGAAGAGCGAGAGCGTGACGAGTCAATGAGCGAGCCGGCCTGTTACCGCGACAGCGTGACTGGCCCCGAGATTCTTTCACTGTTTAAGTACGTCATCAAATAAAGTAATATCATCCGTTCCATGAATGACCATCTTCTTACGCAGCTCTTCATTCGGCGATTCCAGGTCAGGCCTCCACGGTAAGTACCGATCTTCGAAGGATTTTCGAAGGAGACGTCTTTGGTGCGATAAAGTTTCTTGCCGTTGCATCTGTTCGATTTGTGATACAGGGTGATTCGGGAAAATATTAGAACTCTCGCTAGCGTTCGTAGTACTTTTTTACATACGTCTGACTAATTTCGTGTATTACTACTTGCTGGGTTTTGTATCTCTCTCGTTCCGTATTATTGATGCTCGAAACACCGCTTATGCGATTTAAATAATACTTGCTATCACAGCTCTTGTTGTCAAACAAATTTTAGCATATCTGCACAACTGATACACAATTTTGTCTTCAAATAGTGCATTTCGTTTGCCATCATTATCGATACATTCTTGGAATCTTCCCCCAAGTAGTTTTCAGAGATCAGAGGTATATTTGTTTTAGCGAAGCACGTTGTACGTAAGAAACACCGAGGGAACTTTGCAAAAATTGTCTTCTTCTCGCTTTCTAATACCCAGAAAATCGCTTTCCGGGAGCCACTGATTATCGCCCGCAGAAAATTCGGCAATTTCAATTAGCTATGTACAAAACGAAAAGATTGCTGGGTAAATTCGATTTGTCGTAGGAGGGTAGAGGCGGAAAATTTCGCGAACACGCGTCACGTATCGCGGATCGATATCCTTGCCCGTGGGAAGGGTGAGAATCGGCCGATTCGCGGGGGGCGAAATCGTCGAAGTCGCGGACGCGCGCCAACTAACCCAACCTAATCCGGACGGACGAGATATGCAGCAGATTCAATAATTCGCCGCGATTGCAATCGAGCGGGATGCACCGCACGCAAAAACGGCCAGGCCCGATATCCGCTCGGTGAAAAGGTCCGCGTGATTGATGGGACACACAAAGCGGCCCCTCTACGTCCAGCCAAAACCTACACGCGCGCACATACACGCTTCCTCGCTACATTCCTGTCGTCGTTGTGTCACGTGGCTGGAAATCGAGATAAAAAGACCGCAAAACAATTTTCTACATTATTTTCCGATGCGCCGCCCGATCAAATGAGCAATAATGCCCGGCACACCGCATCTCCATGAATCTTTCAAACGACGCATTGAACCGTGGCCAGGCGTCGGTGCGCGACGGTTCTCGCTCGATGAAAACGCGGCCCGCGTGCACACGCTGCTAATTACGACACAGGTAAATATTCGGTGGCTGAATATGAACGGGTGAGTGAGAGAGGAAAAAGAAGCGCGTAAAATGACGCTTGAAATTTTTCATCAATGGAGAGCGATGTACGATCGGAGAAGAGGAAAAAAGAAATATCGAAATCTATTATAATCGAATTTAACGGTGGAACAATTAACAACGCAGCTTACCCAGAAATTTCTCAAGACACTCAGAGGGTGTCGTCGTCGTTGTCGTTCCCTGCAACGAAAAAGATCGTAAAAACGACAGTCTCTTTTTATTCCCTCCCCGCCCCTAACCGCCCCCTCAATCTATGGTGGAAAAGCCCCGCGTACACGTCCATGCTGGTCGGGTTATCGCAACAAACTACCCCAATGACGACACGATTAAAATTTCACGGGGGCTCGGTTGCGTGGGCTCGGGCGTGTTCTCTCTCTCGGAACAAACCGTCTCTCTGTATGATCCCTCTCTCCCCGGCGTCCATCGAGCCGGGCCAGACCACCTTTCGATCCCCCTCTCGCTTCAGGAGCCACCCCCTCATCCCCGTCGGGTGATTGGTACGCGACCGCAGCCACCCCCGCTTTTTAATACACCCGCACCTGCATACTCTACACCCGCAACCGGTGAGCTGCTACCGTATATACGCTAGAGAGGGTGCATCCAACCCCTCCGCCACTCAATCCATTCTATCTCTCTCTCGCTCGCGCCAATTTGCTCCAGCATCGTTCGTCACGATCCAACCATCTCTCCTCTCTCTCTCTCTCTCTATGTGCTCTCTGTGTGTTTGCGTGTCGCGCTCTCGTTCCGCGTCAACGTCAACGGTGCACGCCGAGTGATTCATCGATCGAACACGTATTCGTGTCCCCGGCTCGTTCATCCCCCCGAAATAGCAACAAAGACTGGTCTCCTCTCTCTGGTCACTCTATGTCTGTCTTTTTCTCCCGCCCCTCTCGCTCTCTGTTCAACCGTATGAAGCCATGCCCGAAAACCGCCGCCACGGCGTCGGGCACAGAAGCCAGAGAGACGGAAAATGCATTTCCAGGGCCGATGATTGGGGCCGTTCTTTCAATCGCGGTGTGGCCGCGATCTCTTTTTCACCGATCCACCCTCTATCACCCTCGCCTCTCTCTACGGGTGCACAGGCGGTTTTACCAGTGGAACGCCGCGGAGATCCGTTTTCCGGCTGCACGCCACCGATCTGTCTCTTGTATTCTCGATTTCCCGGTGTAAGACACCGAGTGTCGTACGTCGAACGAATTTTTGCTCCGAGGTTTTTCTGAAATTCTCCGGTGTTTTTCCGTGCGAGAGAAATTTCGCCCGAGAACGCGGAAGAAGGTCTCGTGTCGTTTGTCGGAGGAGAGAAAGCATCGAAGCGAGGCGTCGTGGTCCGGAAGAAAGTAACTCCGGCGTGAATAAATGATCGGAGGCTGGAAGGAAGGAAAAGAAAAAAAGAAAGGAGAACGCCGAGCAACGTCCCTTGAGCCGAGGCCAGTTGGTTGCACGCTCGCGAGGAGCTGTCCTTTAACGCTTTTTGTCCTTGGTACAGTGTCCCTCCTACGCCTTGCCCGTCAGAAGGTTGCGAGGTTCTTTTTCTTTTTCCTAGCCTCGTTCCTTCTTTTCTTTCCCTTTTTTTTTTTTCTCCTCTTCTCTGTTCTCGTTCGTTGTCAGCCTCTCGGGCTACTGCTGCTGCCGCTGCCCGAGCACTTTAGATAATAAGGCCAGGATGCTGAGGCGCGGCGGACGAAAGGGTAAATTGGGTATTCGTCCGAGGAATTATCTCTCTAATTTCTTTAACGTGGCAGTCTCTCACCTTGCTCTTATGTACGCGTATAATTTTCATCGTCGCGGGCCGGGGTTTCCCTCGAATGGCCCATCACCGACCTCTCCTCTCCTCCTTCACCTTGTCGGACCCTTCACGCTTTCTCTCTCGCTCTCTCTTGAGGATGAAAAAGGGTTCATCTACGTGATGGAAAAGATCAGAAGAAGTCGAGAGGTCGCGTTAAATTATTTCTGGCCCCTCCTTTGCTCACCTGCACTCTCCTTGCCACCTTTAATCTGGGACACCTGTCTCACGACTGTGTGGAACCTTCAAGGAGTGCTTATCATTTTTTCCGCGAATGTAGGAACCCTATTCAGTATTTTCACTTTAAAAATTTCTAAACTTCATTAGCCTTAGTATTGCACAGAGTTTCTCCAAGATTACCAAAGGTTGCCTGCACTATGCAGAAGAAAAATATTTGCCAGCAGCCCTATTCACTATTCCAATCTCACTTCACAATGATCCCTTAAGAATGGTCAAACTTCATTAGCCCCGGTATCGCGCCGACTTTCTCCAAGATGATTACCAAAGGTTCGCTGCAATATGCAGGAGATCTCCGAGGCATTCCGCTGTCTTGAATTATCCCGGAAGGATTAATGGTTGATCCTTTGGTCGCGGAAGCGTGACGCGTTGGCTCGATGCTAATAATAATAAACGATCGCCGATATAGAAGGGAGAAGGGGCGGGTCCCGGGTGTAATTCGTACAAATGATAGTTCACGAGCGATCTAGCGGAGTAGGGCGGGCTCGTATACATCGTAATGGTCCTGAAATTAGATCCCACCCTTGGCGAGGTTCCCGTGAGTTCGACAAATTCGGTTAGGTCGATGAAAAATGAATCGCTGTTACCGCCGGCCTTTACTCTATCCTCTCTCCATCGGCCTGGTCGGTTTTGCATCTTCGATTTTTATCGGCGGACGCGGCCGCCACGCTTTAATTTATCGACATATAATTTATCGGGGGTGGCGGGATCTGTGGGTGTTTCAGCAAGAAAGGGAACAAAGTTTCGGCGCGCTTTTACCAACGGGAATGCTACAAAGTTTCCGATAACTTTTTCGATAGGTTCGCGTGTTAATTAACAAGTGGTAATTATTTCTGTATTTATCGTGGAAAAAGTGTGGTCATTTTTATCCTGGAAATCGGAGAGACTGTTCTCGTGGGGCTGTTGACAGTATTTCTAATATTCTTTTGTGGGAATTACGTGGTGTGTCTGACTAACGTTGACTTTTACTACTCGCTAGTCTCTGTATCTCTTAGCTTCGATATTTTTTGAAGTTTATTTATGTT